GTGTCATACCATTTATTTTTAAAATATACTTTTTGTTATACTTTAAAATCGATATAGAAACTACCAATTAGAAACCAATATTCCTCTTGTTGAAATTCGAGAAACCTTTCACATAATTTAATGATTCAAAACTAATATTCTTCAATGAAAAAATATTATAACCCTGCAATGATGGCTTAACTGCAACTAAATGAAAAGGTTTCAACTTATACCTTTTAATTCCTAAAAGATGCTAAATTAAAAGTAATGATAGCAATTGTATAACCAATAGTTTGTTATTTTTTTGATGTCCATTTATAAAATTTGACTCTTCAAACAAACATTCTTCAAAAAAAAAAAAAATGAATATTAACACATTATTGTGATGTTTCTTTCTATACCATGTAGCTTTACTTCATTGTATATGTAAGTAAACTTTTATTTGATTTTTAAACTCTTTTTTGTTATTTAAATAAACATAGACATGTACTCTATATATTATATTTATTTTAAAAGAAATCTTCTTTATTCAAATCTAGCTATAGTATTTTAAAGAACTATAATTATAGGGTTTTAGATGTAATAGTTTAGAATTATATGGAGAATTTTTTTTCCTTTTTTGCCAGAGGCAAAGTAATATTTAAATAATTATAAAAAATTAATTCAAGTTCTTAACATGATTGCATATGATCATTAACTTAATTAAGCATGATAACATGATAACAAAAGATAAATTTCCTTTTATTTTTATTTTAATTCAAATTTTAAAACTTTATATATAAAATTCAAAATTATCTTTTAATGCAAATTCAATTATATATATATATATATATTTGTATTTGACTAGCATAATCAAATATAGAATAAAGTTACCATACATTATTAGCAATTATTAGCTTGCCACTTTGCTTAACCACAATGCTAATTATATTTGGTAACTTTATTCATTTAGCATATATATAGATTTGAATTTTTTTTTTTTTTACATTTAAAAAAAATATTTGGTGTCATACCATTTATTTTTAAAATATACTTTTTGTTATACTTGAAAATTGATGCAGAAACTACCAATTAGAAACCAATATTCCTCTTGTTGAAATTCGAGAAACCTTTCACATAATTTAATGATTCAAAACTAATATTCTTCAACGAAAAAAATATTATACCCCTGCAATGATGGCTTGACTGCAGCTAAATGAAAAGGTTTCAACTTATACCCTTTAATTCCTAAAAGATGCTAAATTAAAAGTAATGATAGCAATTGTATAACCAATATTTTGTTATTTTTTTGATGTCCATTTATACAATTTGACTCTTCAAACAAACATTCTTCAAAAAAAACAAAAAAATTTGAATATTAACACATTATTGTGATGTTTCTTTCTATACCATGTAGCTTTACTTCATTATATATGTAAGTAAACTTTTATTTGATTTTTAAACTCTTTTTTGTTATTTGAATAAACATAAACATGTACCCTATATATTATATTTATTTTAAAAGAAATCTGCTTTATTCAAATCTAGCTATAGGGTTTTAGATGTGAAAGAGTTTAGAATTATATGGAGAATTTATTTTTCTTTTTTGCCAGTGGCAAAGTAATATTTAAATAATTATAAAAAATTAATTCAAGTTCTTAACATGATTGCATATGATCATTTAACTGAATTAAGCATGATAACAAAAGATAAATTTCTTTTTATTTTAATTTAATTTCAAATTTTAAAACTTTATATATAAAATTCAAAATTATCTTTTAATTCAAATTCAATTTTATATNTTTGCCATTTGGCTTAACCACAATACTAATTATATTTGGTAACTTTATTCCTGTAATGTATATATAGATTTTCAAATAAATGGTTGCAAATTCATCTTGTAGTATTACTTATTGTAGTGGTACAATTAAGAATATTAGTAAAGGATAAAATAACTATCTTCTCTTCCCCAACTATTTGTGAGTACATTTCTAGCTTAAGATACATTTTGAAAAGGGAAAACAATAATTAAAAAATGCATTTGTTTTGATCCTAATTCATATTATTATGGTCTTAAGAAAAGGGCTACTTATTGGACAGATCGGCCGGTTGTTTACGCTTAACGGTTTGGCTTATCGATTATCGACTTTTAAAAGTATTAATCAGCTAGCCATCTGATAAAATATCAGGCAGATTGGCATGTTAGCTATTATGGAGCGGTTATCAGACGATTTATAGCCCTATTTAAATCTGTATTACAGAGGCCTAATTTGACAACATACTGGAAAAAAAACATACAGTGATACAATGATACCACAGCTGCACAAGAGGATATACTAAAACCTTTTCAACATATTGATAGTATCACAAGACACAAAAAATAATGGACAAACATACTTGAACCTACACTGAGGAGCAAGGCAGCAAGCTCCTCAAAAATAGCATGCAACCAAGCTTATGGCTCTGCAGTCTACACATTCTTCAGCTAACATAACAGTTAACACTTCTAATATTGGATAAGTGGAAGGGGTATTTAATATACATATGAATAAAAAATTATAAATATAAAAATTCATAACGGGTTAACGGTTTATCCAATAAGAAAATTGAATAATTCGCCCCCAAATCGATAAATCGTTAATAATAAAATTTTAATTCATTTACCACTCGTTAATCCGATAATCCGATACCAATAAACCATTAAGTCACTTTTGCGGTTTGGTTTTGAACACCCCTACTTAAAAATATGTCTTAAATGTGTTTGGTGGTTCAAAGTCCAACTCCGAATAGTACAAGACTATTATGTTAGCCTTGGTCGATGTCTATTTTGTTAGAAAAATTCTAGATGATATATAATCCACTAAATTTTTGATAAATTCGTGACCAAGGAAATTAAGAAATGACTCATTTATCTTGTATTATTGTTTATTATCATCGTGATGATGTCATTGATCAAATTCCCATCATCCGTTTGCAATTTGTTACATATAATAAGTGTGCTTTGTCCATCATAGATTCATCACTAAGAGGACATAAAGTTTATGGACACAAATTCCCATCGTAATATTATTTCACAACAAAATTTATGTAAATTTCTTGAACTTAATGCCAATTCAAATGATGCGACATAAAGTTCAAGTAATTACTTACATCATATTTCTTGTGTTGAGTCTGACTCCTATTAAGAATAGCTTCTCATTTTCTTGAAAATGCAACTCCAACTAAATTTTACAGGTAAAGTAAATTATAAGTAATAGCTTGGAAAATAGCAAGAATCTCGATGACTTGGAGCTAAACTATATACATTGATAGTATATAAAGTTATGATACTATATAATATATATAATCAGTTGTAACATATTAACTTATCTCTTTTTTTTAATTGATAATTAAAAAAATTTATTACCAACGAAAAAATATTTACAAGTAGGACAAAAAAACCCTAAAGTTGAACATAGGCCCCCCAACTTTAGTGTGAACAAACTAGCTACCTATCCTCCATTTTTCCAATTAATCTAAGCCAGAATAACCACCACTACACCTATTACATCAATATATCAAAAAACAACAAAGGAAAAAAATTTAAGCATATCAAGTTGTGTTGCCATTCTTGGTAGGCATGGAGCTAGGTGAGCGAAAGGTGTTCTACGAATCCTCTTTGTTAAACATTATTTGTATATATATATATATATGGTTAATTTTTTTTTCATATATATATATATATTAGGTGCTCAATATACAGTCAAACCTTTATAATATCCTTATTTTATTTCGATATTTTTTGGCTGCTATAATAAAGTGATGTTTAAGAGGACATATATTATAACATAACATAAGAATCGGTTCCAAAAAAATATGATTTTTATAGTGAATGATTGTTATATAGATATATTGTTATAGAGAGTTCTGATTATATCCCCCTAGCTTCTTTGCGTGTTTATTTTTCTAATTTTTGAATTCCCTTAATAAAAATTCTGCTTCCACCACTTATTCTTGGTTTCCCAAACAGTCTACTCATCAATCTTGAATAATTTGTTTTACAATATAATCTCCATTCCTTGTCTTGTTCTGGAAAAGCTTGAGGTTTCTCTCTTGCCATACATGTATCAATATATCAAACAACTATTCTTTTTTGAGCTACAAAGACACGCTTAATTACTATAAACCGCCATAGTAAATCCCTATAATTAAGGCACGGATTATATATGAGGATTGAATCAAGTAGCTCCCACGTAGACGTAGTGGCCAAATCAGCCCATGCAATTTGGCCAAATTTTAACGTTTAAAATTTGTACGTCTTAAATTATTTGCTTGTCACTGACGTCTATGTTGCATGATTAATTGAAATCAAGTAATAATTAAACACCTAGCTCCCTTTCCCAATGCTTTGCACTAATCAAATTATTTTGAGTGAGCAGAATTATTAGATTTGTGACCTGGCCAAAATGAGACTATGACCTCAATTCAATGTTGTTTCACATATATAATTGACAAGTATTTATTATGTATATTAAATTTTAGATTGCAATACCGTGTCGAAACTTATCTGGTCTATCGCGCACGTTTGAACGATTGAAAGTTTGCAATCAGAGTTCTAGTACTTTAATTTATTGTTTTATTGGGTTTAAATTCTATACAGTGACAATTTAAATAATATATTTACGTAATCATATTATTTATAAGGTAATTACGAAAAAATCTCTATGATAGATATTTGATAAATAGTAATAATAATAATAATAATAATAATAATAATAATAATAATAATAATAATAATAATATGTTATCACATATTTAATAATCTCAGATAGTATGGCAGTAGAGAGTTATAATTATGTTATCCAGGGAAAGTATTTTATTTCACAATCATTTATCCACAAAGCCTGACAGAAAAATTATTTATCAGTCATGAGAATGCAAAAACTGAATTCTGTGTCCATAGAAACCATTGGCGTTGAATATAACTAGTGCCTAGGCACCAATTGTTTTGTGACAAAGCAGAGCTAATTACGTGATACATGCTAGGTAGGACTAAGGACAAGTTACAAAATAATTGTGATAATTCATTCTGCCCATATCATGCATGTACATAAACTCTTGAGAGAATTCCAATTTATTACATCCTCTGCAATCTCCTTTTTTTTTTCCTTGCTAAAATAAAATATGAGTAAACACATAAAAATGGGTGCCAACATGGATTGTCAGACTGAGATCCGTGTAGCCAATAAGGACTTAAGATTAGATGCAGGTGGGGTGAGTCATTGCTACTGAAAAATGCATAGGAATTAGAGAATTGACCAAAGGGGGACGTATCTATGAATTCACAATCCATAGATGGATAAGCTAAGCAAATATTACTATACTATATGGAATGAGATGCACAATCGTTTAACTATTCAACACAACTGCGTAGTTGCTATTCAACACAACTTGAGATCGTCTTTCTAGGAACCGATAAACTTAAACACCTGAATCTGCCTCTGCACATAGTACAAACATATAAGAAGCATTATTACGCACATGTTGCACTTTTTTCTTTTCTTTTTGGCATTACATCAAGTCATGATTGAACACTTATTACTATGGGTGTACAAAGAACACTGACAAATCGCACCAACCCGATAATTCGAGTCAAACCGAGAAAAAAAATCCGACTATGATTTAGTTTGGTGTTGGAAAAAAAAATCCTACCATAATTGATTTGGTTTGGTTTGGTTGTAACTAAAGAAAGTCAAACTGAAACCAAACCAACCCAACCCAACATTATATATATAGAAATTTTAGATATATTTAATATATAAATATATTTATTGTGATATAATTTATAAATATTTCTTAAGATTTTTCATTATTTTATCTTTTAAGATATTATTTCAAGGTTGGACTTAGAACTTTTGAATGTTCCAATAAGTTTCATAGCCATTAACATTAATAAATTAAATAATGCTAACAAAAGCCCAAACCAAAATTAAATCAATACTAATGCTAACAAAAGCCCAAACCAAAATTAAATCAATACTAATGCTAACAAAAGACGTTCAATTCAATACTACAAACGGGAATGTATTGAATATCTATTTTTTATTTTGCAATAATTTAGATAAAAATGCATAACCTATTTTTTTTAGTCTTTAGTCATGTAATTAATACTCCTTCTACTTATTTTAGCATAACTTAGTACTTTTAGATTATGTTTATTTTTATTATGACTTTTTAATTAACAATATTTATATTACATAATTTTATTATCTTTATTATTGAATATTTTAGGATAATGCCATGACACATCTCATATTTTGTATTACTTTATATAGTTGTATCTTATTAGGATTAAAAAAATATTTTGAACACAATTTATATGTTTTGTTCTACGAAGATTTTACCGAAAACCCCCCGAAACAATCCAAATAACCCGAGAAAAAACAAGAGCGAAAAATCCGAGTTTTATTGGTTTGGTTTGGTCTTTAGATTTAATAATCTGACACAATTGGTTTGATTTAGTAATTGTAAAATTCGAACCAACCCGACCTATGTACACCCCTACTTATTACAAGTACCTGACTGAATATTAAATATCACAATTCACAGTAGAGTGCCCTCAGCTGGAGCGGGTGGGCCGGGAAGCACAACGGGAACATCAGGAGGTTGAGGTGCAAATGGGCTAGATAAAGGTCCTGGGCCTGGGCCTAGAGGAGGATCACGAGGGCCTAAAGCCCAACTTCGTCTGCCGACACAGTCTTCCAAGGCCCAACAGCAGCATAGGAAATAGAAGCTGCCACAACACACAATGTAAAAGTGCAACTGTTAGTAGCAATCTATGTCTTGTGCATCTTAAGCTAAATGCTTAGGTGCCCTTTGGTTTGAGGAGAAACACTGATCTCAATTGCTGCAAAATTTTGACATTTATATTTTAAAAGTTTATAATTTCCTACCGCAATCTCAAGTTAACATACAATGAAAATTGAGTTTATAATGAATTATTTCTTAAAACATGATCTGGACAAAATTAAAGCTCTTAAGTTACATGAACTCGTAAGTGACACTCTAGATCCCCCTAAGCGTGACGCTAACTACAGTGTTGTTTCAATTTTCAAAGTGAGGTGAACGTACGCGTGAAGATAATGAGTTACTATTAAATAAAATATATAATTAAAAAAAGACCTAAATAGAACACCCGTGTTTTATTTACTGATCAAAACAGTTGTACTCTCTCCGTCTCATATTAGATAAAATATTTTCCTTTTTAGTCTGTCCAAAACAAATGACACATTTTTAAATTTGGAAATAATTCAACTTTAAACTATTCATTTTATCCATTTATCCTTAATGAGAAGCTTTTATAGTCACACAAATGTATGGCTCCACAAACCTTTTACCCCTTAAGATTTTAAAATTACAAATTTTAAAAGTCTTCTTCTATTTTCTTAAACTTCGCGCCAAGGGAGTAATAAAATACAAAAGTGAATCTCCCTTTGTTGCTTCTTTAGAGTCATTTACTTAATTATTTCATATGTTATATCGTGACAACTTACCCATCCCAATTCCCAAAATATTCCCTAAAAGGTAAAAAACAGATAAAATGAACGAACTTGCGTTAAAAATACCGTTTCAATTTATATGAACCTATTTGACTGGGCACGAAGTTTAAGAAAAAAATAAAGAATTTTAGAATTTGTGGTACTAAACAAGTCAAAAAGGAATCCAGAATATTTGCATGGTTATAAATGCTTCTCATTAAGGGTAGAGTTGGAAGTTTAAGCTAAATTGTTTCCAAATTTAAAAAAAAGTCATTCTTTTCGGAACGAATCAAAAAGAAAATAAGTCCACATAAACTGGAACAGAGATAACAGTACCAACCAAGAAGAGAGGGCAAAGCACAAGTTAGAAAAGTAGCGACGAAAAAACCCAGAACCAATGGTATTATGGTAGTGTTGATGAGTCCAACCAGATCCTGGTCCAGCCATACTCGGAACATTTGGTGGTGCTGGTGCGTACATCTTAATCTTATTCTCCTCAAATCTTCTACTACTTGCTAAACAAAACCAACTATAACAAGAATTTTATACGAATAGAGTTCTCGGCTAAGGTACGAGGATGTCTTATCTGCTTATAGTATATATGGATAGTGACCGACAAGGAATGAGATCTTATCGTACAAAGAAAGCGGTGGTGCATATCCTTTTATGTTCCAAGTGTATCGCTTCCATGCATATCCACGTATTACCTCACCTTCGTTTTCTCTTTTTATAATCATAAAGTTCCGAGCAATTTTCTGCACGCTTCAACTAATTTTACGAAATATTTAGAATATTATTTTTCACCAGCAATAATTTTATCCACCAAGACGAGGAAAGACCACTTAATATATTTTTCCTCTATTGAGATTTGAACAAGAATACTTCAGGTTTTCTCACGTTCAACTTCAAATCAAGCATAACGCAAGTAAACCGTGGGCCGGTGGGATAAACAACTGTTTTATCTCATATTTTCATGAAAAGAAAAAAAAAAAAGGAGACGGGATATGTTTTTACGGGATAAATTAATAGTGGACTAGTGGTTAAATATACTATAAGTTAAGTTCAAACTTTAATCCCGAAAAAGAATATACACCAAGTCACTAACCCTGTGATTGCATTATAGATGTTAATTTACTACATATATAAGTAATAAAATTTGAATTTAACAGAAAAGACATATTAGTGGAGAACCCCCTGAATACACCAAATAATATTTCTTCCCTGAAGCATATGAAGGACGTTCGATAGTCTACTTTAGTAAGATACTAATGTTTTTTTTCTTCTTATGTACCAAATTAAGATTACTCGATTTAATCTAGTTTCTAGAATTGACGGTTCTAATTACGGAAAAGAACCAAATATACGCTTGAATATATCGTTCGTTATACTTTGGGTCTAAATATATCCTTACCGTAATATTAATGGTTGAAATATATCCCTCTTCCGTTAAGTTTGTCCAAGGTGGATATCCAATCCTATGTGGCACTAACATTTGAAGAAATGGATATCACGTGGTATATCACCTCAATGCCCCTAACCCATTTTACCCCTCCTCTCTATTTGTTTTTCCAACACTAAAATTTTATTCCCCATCCACCACCATTGTCACCGTAACCGCCACCAATATTGAATTCCAAAGTTTAGTGTTTTATATTAAAAAACAACAAGGCAAAAAAGAGGTGTATGTACTAATATAACTTCAACTAAAGACACTGAAAATTTGAGAATTTCCGAAGCCAGAAACGTATCAAGAAAGAAAGAAACTTGTGCTTCAGTTGAAACTCATGAACACTACCTCTCTCCCTTTGGTTGCTAGTTCCTACTTCTTGTTGAAGTTTGGCAAAATGCAAAAGTCCCACGTCGGTTGGGAGAAGAGTTGGGGGGATTTTTCCCCCTATAAAAGAAGGCCTAATGTTTAGGATTTATACACACCTTTCATTTGCCTTCTTATCTTCTTAAGACATTTGTATCTTCTCTCTTTAGTATTATTTCACTTGTATTTTGGAGTGAAATAAAATATTGGTTGTGTCCGAGGAGTAGGCAAAATTAGCCGAACCTCGTAAATTTTGGTGTTCCTTTTATTGTTGCTTTATTGTCTTATTTATTATTTGGTGGCTGTCATAATTTTTGGTATAGTAGTTGTGACTTATTCACACT